CGAGGTGAATGCTGTTTAGATCCCCTTTCATCGGTCTTTTCAGGCAAGGAAACAAAAAAGTCCGGTGGGCCACATCAGACTGTAGAGCGACGGCGGAGCATTATAATGCCGGCCTTGGTTAGGTACTTATTCACAAGAAGGGCGGTGTGAGCCGGGGCGTTATCGTGGTGCAACATCCAATCGGCTACGATGTCTTGTCGGACCCGATTTATTCTTCGTTTGAGTCTCTTGCGGGCTTCCACGTAAAACTTAGCGTTTACGGTTTGTCCAGCAGTAACAAATTCATTGTGGACGTTGCCTTTAATGTCAAAAAAACAAAGAGCATCGTTTTCACTTCGGATTTGCTCATGTTTCCCTTTTTTGGGCGAGGATACGCCAGCGTATACCACTCGGAAGAATGCCTCATGACATGAATCGTCACCTGTCGTTACGTTATTCAAAAATTGGGGGGAACGCTGCATTTTYGGCTTGTATTACTCACAGAAACACTTCGCGCGAAAATGTTTATCCTCACTCTCCAAGTGCTCGGAGACAACTCTCCAGAATGGGCATTACTAAATGCCTACAGAATTCTTTTGCACATTTTCCGAGCCACTTGAAACACTTTAATCTAGATTACACTCTACCCGCAATGAGCACTGAAAAGTTTCAATCAAAATCGCGAATATTGTAACTTTTCTCCCTCTGCCAATATTTCATGGCACATTACTTTATCACTGCTCCGAATCAGCATGCATTATATTCTGCGAATAGAAATCATTAAGCGCATTGATACAGCGCAGCAAGTAGAAAATCAACAAATCTAAACCCACTCATTAAACTTGGTTAGCAGCGGAAAATATGTTGCAGTTCGAAGCATTTAGTCAATAGCGCCGCCTGCTGCAATACATGCGAACTGAAGGGAGCAACACCAAACTGCAACTAGTTCAGCTAAGTGATGTCAATCAATCGCTTAGAAAAAGTGCACTTCACCGAAGACAGCCCATAAGCTCCTTTGTTAATAAGAGTYGCATACAAGTATCCATGGGAAACGTCTGGCAGTTGACATTTGTAATATAGGCGATGAGGCTCCGTCGCGGCGCGCTTTGCAGTCATCTCGCTGTGCTCATTAACTTTTACACTGCAATGACAGGCGGAGAGTTCGTACAACAGCAAAGTGACAGCTGACAGTGACTGCTCTTAGGAATACTCACATTATTGTTAGAATTTCGCTGCCATTTGCATTTGCCGCTGGCGCAGTCGACATGTTTAGACATTTCACAACTCGATGCATTTGCACTCGTAGAGGCTTAGAGCTTTGGCGGCAGTTATCAATTGGTATGGGTTAGGAGTTGATTGACTTCAATGCACTCCAAATGAAAGATAAGCTTTATATCTTTATATATTATAGATATTTATGTGTGGGTGGGGTTTGAGTGGATTATGTTCGATTTATTATGTATGTTGTTTACAGTTATGATCCCTTACAATAACGTAAGGAAAAAAATACTTACAACGGTTTCAAAAATTTTCATTGTATTCAGGAAAGCCAGTCTATATATTGAATATATTAATTAGAGTATTACGAAATCAGACTTAATTGGTTTTCATCAAAGACTACAAAGTCTTCAGTAGTCAATAATGAAGTCACGAGCCTTAGCAACGGTCTCTTTTTAACCCGCTAATACACAAATTTACACGTGACTCTATATTGGTAGAACCGAATAAAACTGTCCAACATTTAACCGATATAAATCGCTGAGTAGACTCCTATATAGCATAATCTAGTACATATAAAATATTATACAGACTTACACATTTAAATTATATACAGTCCACTTACGATCCGTCCAGGTCAACTGTGGAATTGAAAACTAATATCTGAAAGCTGAAAATACACAAGCATTTGGTATGCCTATGTATGGGTTGATGAAGAAATTGAAAATCAATCAAAGTCAATTGACTGATATTATTGACCTATTTTGCCATAAATCCTATTAGATATTGCAACTGAGCTGCTATGCCAACAGCTCATAGAAGCGCCAATAAAATGTGTGTTGCACCAGAGGTGTTATGGGTGGGAGATACACATAGACGTATGCCATGRAAGGCTGTTGTGCGTGAATGGATTCAAATTAATGCTCTTGTATACATCAACCCGACAATTGCTGCCTTTGATTGAGATTTGATTTCATAATTTACACACACACATACATGAATTGGTATGTGTTCTGCACATACGAGCATATAGCATTATGTAGGCCGATTTATGACGATGATTGATTTATGTTTGATAGTTGTTAAATGGTGCTTAATTGGGTTACCTTGGGAGCACATTGGCCTCCATTGTCTTACCAAAAATTTCAAAGATATCATTCWACTATATATCATATTGTTTTATATTACAAGGTCTGGATTTCTCTGCAAGTTTCATTGCAATATCTTTCCTATTGTACCAAAAGGATTTGTCTGCATATATTCTAAAAAGCTCAGAACAACACAGTTATGCCTTCTTAAGAAGGAATCTATCCCGATAGAAGTTAAACCATGTTTTTGTAAATAGTCTTAATACCGTATCTTGATTTACTCTTTGAAAATTATTTTAAATTGAATAATATAATCACCCAATGTTTCTTTTTTCAAATTAGTACAAAATTTCTTTATATAACAAAAAAAAAAATAATAATAATGACAAACAAAACCATGGCTCGTTTATTCTTATTAAAGATATTTATGTGTRAATCGCTATGCTATCTCATGTACTGTTATCTGAATATGAAGGTGCACATACGCATACATACTACAAAAGGATATGCATAGCTATACATTTCATGTTATTACACCAATCGCTGGCTGTAATTCGCTATTGTCGCGCGCATCATCAGCTATTAATAGAACAGTAAGAGCACGAGAAAACAAGTAAGACGRAACACGGCGAGTTTGCAACCTAACAACATTTATCTCGTTCATTTTCATATGGTTGGCGAGTTTTAATATTGCTTATGAATGTTTCATCTACTGCAAGCAGTTGATAATGCTGCGGAGGAAGCTGGAGATTCAGGTAAATAAATATCTGGTTTTCAACAATATTCTTAATTTGCGAGTGGCTGGCGGTGCCAAATCGAGCCCGCTGGATGAACAGAGTTATTATRCACACCTGAAACAAGTTGCGCTTGGCTCAAAGAAGAACACGCAAAAATATCATCGCTTGCCAGTAGCCATCTGTTCAATGACGTTGCGTAAGCGTGCGCTGGCATCGTTACCCCAGCAATTGTTGAGTCATTCTGATACTTAGATATGTCTATATGTAAGGGGAGAGACATGCATATGTGCACGCAATTGCATGACAGCAATGCAATTTTCTTTAATGCGCAGCTATTCTACAGCTATTCGTGCTTATCTTTTTGCATATAATTATATGAGCAGCATTCAGTTCCACATGGAAAGGTGCATAAAATTGTATAAAATCTATACATACAGATGATGGCGCTTGTTAACGCTAATACTCATATGCATTTTAAACATAGCTGTGTTTGTATAAGCGTGGAAGTCTTGACAATTGTGTACGCTATTTCTAGTCTAATATCATCGTACTCCAGACTTGCGTGTTTAAGTTTGGATAGATCTTTCTTCTACTTAATTCTTTATTAATTGATGGT